GAACTCTGTGGTAGCTCTCAGAGAGGCTGATTCCATCAACAGCCGAAAAATATCAGAGTACTAACAGTGCCATGTTGCGCATGGATGGTGTCCCTGTTTGTACTTTTGGTGTGCATTGCAGAGGCCACATTTGGAGCCCTTTGTTACGGCTTAGGGTTTATTAATAGTAATGAGGCTATTGCTTAGTTGTTAAATAGTGTACTGAGTACTATCTATACTTGAGTCAAGTTCTTTATAAATTTAAAATGACTAAAGTACCTAAAACTAAAAAACACAAAAAACCATTGTCATCACCAAGTTCTCTAAACCTATCATTTACTAATATTCGTGGTCTTCGAAGTAACTTTTCTTCTGTTGAGTCTTATCTCTTGCAAAGTTCACCAGACCTACTTGCTCTTTGTGAGACTAATTTGAGTTCGGCTGTCCCATCTTGTGATCTTAGTGTTGATGGTTATCTTCCTTTAATTCGTAAAGACTCCAATAATCACATGCTTGGCCTGGGCATCTACATTCGTAAGAACTCACCCATTTGTCGTGAAACTAGGTTTGAATCTACAGACTATTCATTTATGTGCTTTCGTTTAGCACAACTTCACTCTATCGCCTTTCTCTTTGTTCTATATCGCTCTCCTTCATCCCAAGACTGCACTATTCTTGATGTTATTTCTGATCAAATTGACCAAGCCCTCTCTCTTTATCCATCGGCCAATATCGTCGTTGTTGGTGACTTAAATGCCCATCACACCGATTGGCTTGGCTCTAGTGTCAGTGACTCTGCTGGCGTTAAGGCCCTCAACTTTTGCCTTTCTCAATCTCTAACTCAAATAGTCAACTTTCCAACTCGTTTTCCAGACAACCCTAATCATTTACCTTCTCTACTCGACTTATGTCTTGTTTTGGATCCTAGTCAGTGCTCAATTTCTCCACATTCACCCTTAGGTACTTCTGATCACGGTTTGATCTCTCTAAAACTATTATCAAATTCTTCTACTTCATCAGAATCCCCCTATCATCGTACCACATACAACTACCTTAAAGCTGACTGGGACTCTTTCCGTGATTTTCTTGGTGATGACCCTTGGGTAGAAATCTTTCGTCTTCCTGCTGACAAATGTGCTTTTTACATAACTTCGTGGATTCAGGCTGGCATGGAATCTTTTATTCCCTCTCGACGATTCCAGGTCAAGCCTCACTCTTCTCCTTGGTTTTCCTCACATTGCGCTGCAGCAATTTCTAATCGAAACCGTTACTTCCATATCTATCAGCAAAACAATTCTCCAGAAAACAGACATCTGTTCACTATCGCCAGAAACCATTGTAAAAAGGTTTTGTCTGACACCAAAGCTCGCTATTCCCAGGTCATTAAATCTCGTATCTCATCACAAAAATTAGGCTCTCGAGACTTCTGGAGAATCTTAAACAGTATCAATAATAAGGGCAAATCTGTTATTCCTTCTCTCTTGTATGGTTCAGACTTTGTCACCTCACCTAAAGACAAAGCTGAATTGTTTGCAAAGAACTTTTCATCAATATCATCTCTTGATTCCACTAGTTGCGTTTTACCTGACATAGCCATCAAACAGGTTGATCCCTTGCTTGACATTCGCATCACTTCAGCTTCTGTATCTAAAGTAATTTCCTGCTTAGACTCTTCAACAGCTTGTGGCCCTGACAACATTCCTGTTGTAGTCTTGCAGAGGTGTTCTCCGGAGCTTTCATCCATACTTTCTAAACTATTTAACAAGTGCTTATCAGAGTCTTGTTTTCCATCATGCTGGAAAGCAGCATCTGTTATCCCTATTTTCAAAAATTCCGGAGAGCGATCTGATTCATCTAACTACCGTCCCATTAGTCTTCTTCCTGTCATAAGCAAGGTTTTTGAATCTTTAATCAACAAACACTTAATCTCTCATCTTGAATCAAATAACTTACTTTCTGATCATCAATATGGATTTCGGTCTTCTCGTTCTACAGCTGATGTGCTAACAGTAATAACCGATAGGTTTTACCGTGCATTAGATAGAGGTGGAGAGGTTAAGGCTATCGCACTTGACATTTCTAAAGCTTTTGATAAAGTTTGGCATGCTGGTCTTCTTCATAAGCTTTCTTCTTATGGTGTAGCTGGTAACGTCTTTAAGATTATTGAGTCCTTTCTTTCCAATCGTAGTATAAAAGTTGTCCTCGATGGACAACACTCTTCTTCACATCCTGTAACTTCAGGGGTTCCTCAAGGTTCAATCCTTGGCCCTATACTCTTTTTAATTTACATTAACGATCTTCCAGATATTCTCACATCTAAGGTGGCATTATTCGCTGACGACACTACCATTTACTCTTGTCATGATAAGAAGCCTACACTCTCTGATTGCTTGGAGGGGGTATCTGAGCTTGAAAAGGATCTCACTTCTGCTACAGCATGGGGCTCACAGTGGCTGGTGAACTTTAATTCAGATAAAACTCAATTTTATTCGGCCAATCGTTATCGTAATAATTTAGATCTTCCTATATTTATGAATGGTAATGTACTAGATGAGTCATCTACCATTCATCTTCTAGGATTAACTCTTACTTCTGATCTTTCTTTTAAACCGTATATCAAATCCATTGCAAAATTAGCATCTGCTAAGGTTGCATCTCTTTATCGAGCTCGACACTTTCTTACTCCAGATTCTATTCTCTATCTCTATAAATCTCAAATCCGTCCCTGTATGGAATACTGTTGCCACATCTGGGGCGGATCTTCTAATGATGCTCTTTCTCTTTTAGACAAGGTGCAAAAACGAATTGTAAACATAGTTGGACCTGCTCTGGCAGCCAATCTCCAACCTTTGTCACATCGTCGTAATGTTGCTTCTCTTTCTCTTTTCTACAAATACTATAATGGGCACTGCTCTAAAGAGCTAGCGTCCCTTGTGCCATCTACTAAAATTCACTCTCGTGTTACTCGCCATTCAATTAAGTCTCATCCTTTTTCTGTGACTGTTCCTAAGTGCTTCAAAAACTCTTATTCTTCTAGTTTTTTTCCTCGAACATCAGTTCTTTGGAATTCGCTTCCTTCATCTTGCTTTCCTGATTCATATAATTTGCAATCTTTTAAGTCATCAGTCAATCGTTATCTTGCTCTACAGATTTAGTCTTTTCTCTTCCAGTAACTTCCAACTCTTATAGTGGTTGCTTGCAGCCTTGTTGGAAGTGAAGATGTTAAAAAAAAAAAAAAAAAAAAAAAAGAAAAAATATATATATATATATATATATATATATATATATATATATATATATATATATATATATGTATATATATATATATATATATATATTGTATTTTTTGTTTTTTATACTATAAGTGTGTTTTATGTTTATATAATATATACTTATTTTATATACCCCTGGCTTGGTCGGGAAGCGGGTGCGATCGCACTCGATATTTGACCACGGAAAATTATATTTAGTTGGGAAAAGCCGGCCAGATTTTTTAGGCGTTTTGAGAACATTTCAAAAACAAGCAAAAAAGCGCAATAAGATAAACTGGACCGATGAGAGACAGTTAAAAAAAAGAAAAATAGCTTTTAACGCAAAACTTTAAGCAAAATAAATACGATTAGAGTTTCAAAATATTTTTGAAACGTCGCTCTTTTATAATTTTTTTTTTTAAAAAAAAAGCGACATTTTTTGTATATAGTAACAACGTACTAATAATGATTGTTTAATAAAGAAACAAATGTTTCAATTTATCAAAGATTATATTTAAATTTTTTTTATATACTTATGTCTTATTTACAGTGCTGGAAATAAGAGGTGGGGGGGTAGAAGAGCTATAGTCCCGGGACACACAATGTTATGGGCCGAGAAATAGTCAAGAGGACCTGTCGGTATTTTTAAGTCATTTTTACGCTGTCGCACATAAAAAAGGCCATTAAAATAATGCAACCCCCGGCCCTGTAAAGTCCAACAAGATTAAACCAATAAAACTAACGCTACATAATTTAATTATAAATAAAAAAAGTTTTTTCAGTACCTGTTTTATGCTTCGCGTAGTTTGAAAAGTTTAACATATTTGAAACAATTCTTCTTAGTAAGATGAACAAATAAAATAACTAAATCATTGAGTTACTGTGGAAATTTAATTAGCTAGATAGAAATTAACTAAAAATGTTAAATTACTTTGTAAGGAGGAAGCGGAACTGCTTAACAATATCGCTGATGATGTTTAGTGAGTCGGCTTTATATCTTTAACTAGTATTTTACAGGAAAAAAAACTTTAAGTGTAAGTATAATGAGTTTGTAAGAATGGCTGAAGCAAAAATAATTGAAGAATGTTAGTTTAAAACACTTATAGCTTTATGGATGTGACTCCGAGAATGAGCCATTGTATTAAAATAATTGTTCGTTTGATAGTATATTCTTAAAACAATTGATGCTAGAATCCTCAACGAAAAAATAATAAAAACAAAAAAAAAAGATTTTGAAAAATAATTCAACAGAATACTCTAGAACAGTCGCGTAATTTCAGTTATTTATTAATTGAACTAATAGAATTAGTTGTTCGTAAATTTGGCGGGTTTTTTGTGTTAGCGAATATTCTTAATTTATTTTTCCGCACAAGACGTTTGACAACATTCAAGTTTATATAAGTTTCCATGTACGTCCGTAAAAAAAAATCTTATAAATTTACGATAAAATGAACTTATTATTTTGCGGACAAACAAGGAAACATACATAAACTGAAATGTTCTCAAAACGCCTGAAAAATCTGTCCGGCTTTTCGCAAGTAAATATAATTTCCGTGGTCAATTATCGAGTGCTATCGCACCTGCTTCCCGACCAAGCCTGATACCCTATATAATATATATATATATATATATATATATATATATATATATATATATATATATATATATATATATATATATATATATATATATATATATATATATATATATACCCTATGTATACAATCTGTAGGAAATAATTAAAAGTTTTAACTTTGAAATTATTTGCAGTTCATCAAAGAAAAAGAAGAAATCAGAAAAGCACTTAAATGGTTTTGATAAAGGAATGGAAGCAGAAGAAATACTTGGAGCTACAGAGACATCTGGGGAAGTTCATTTCTTAATCAAATGGTATAACAATTAATTTAGTTCAAATTTTAGAATTTTTAATAATTTCACTTCTTAAATCTATTCAATGGTTTCTTGTTAATTTCCTAATCTAAAAATATTTAAATCATATTTTATTGTTTTATAATATATAGTAACCATATTTTAATTGCTATTTTATCTGTTAATTGATTATATAAAACCACCTGTTCTGCTTGTCATTCAGCTAAGTCTTATACTTTTACCTTACCTATTCCTTTTTTCAGGAAATTCTCTTCCATCCTAATATTTTCTTAACACATTTAGTTTACTTTTTTTTTTATTGCTATGGTGTTCTTTAGCTCAAACTAATTAGTAATTGCCTGCAGCTTCTTTGGTAGTGATTTTGTTACTTTTTATTGTCTTGAAGATTATAAAGATGTGTAAAAAACAAATTTCTTTTATTTTTATTAATTAGAAATTATTTCATATATACATTGATTACAGGAAAGATGTCAATGATGCAGAGCTAGTTCCTTCAAAAATTGCCAATTTGAAGATACCTCAGATGGTTATATCATTTTATGAAGCACGCTTGACCTGGTCCTCAAATAGTAGTAAGTTTTGAAGCTTTTTGCTTTTACAATTTATAAAAGATTTTTTTTTTAATTCAAAAAATTGAAGCTCTTTTTAAAAATTTATTTTCTTTCTATGTAGTTCGTTAAAATAATTAAATTTTATGTTTCATAAAAGAGATCACGTTCTCTAACTTTTTCAAGTTAGAAAACATGATCACGGCCGTTTGGGCAAGTTTTATTATAAGCGTTGCTGAAAAATTGTTTTAAATTTAATAACTAAGAAATTAAAGTAAACTTAAATAGAAAACAATAATAATAGTTTAAATAATTTGTGTGTTGTTTTTATTTTCGTTTTTTCTTAGTGGTTATTATTATCGGCAACAAAGTTCAGTAAGTCAAAGCAAAAAACAAAAACGGTTTTAGGCGTTAAAAAGGATGACTTTCCCATATTTTATGTGTTTTTTCTTTTAAAGACGAAAGAGAAAATATGTATCGTCATCTGTTTGTAAAATATATTTGTATAATTATAATGTAACAAGTTTTTATCAAAAAGTATACGATTGCGATTTGCAAACTCTTGTGAAATATTAGGTCTTTAAAATTTTAGTTCATGCAAAGCTGTGTACTTTGTTTATAAGGAGCAAATTATTAAAAGTTTGCTAGCAAGAAAGTTACGAAAAACAAAACAAAAATAATAAACTTACGACTACAAAAGTAATAACACCCTAGTCACTAACTGCATTATAAAAGTAATAAAACTATAATAGTGTTATTACATTTATAAAGCACTTATTAATTTTAAAGTTTAATCTTTGTTCAAAAAAAATTATTTATTCCAAGCATTTATTAAAATAGAAAAGCATCTAGAAAAAATAAAGCGGATATTCAAATATTATTAAAAATTTCAGGAACTTTCACAGATCACTTGAACAATGTTATAAAAAAGTACTTTATAAAAAGTATAGCATTATAAACATTACGTAAAAATGCGCATTAATTTTAAAATCAACCAATAAAAATTTTTTATTGGTTAATTTTAAAATTAACGCGCGTTTTTACGGTCCATTAGTAACGTTTTTCATAATGCTAAACTTTTAATATGATACGTTTTTATAAAGTTGTTTGTCACCTTTTTATAAGTTATTTAAGTTTTAACATTATTTAAATATCCACTTTATTCTTCTAGATATTTTTCTACTTCAATTCAAATTTGGGAATACTAATGTTGCTTGAACAAAGAATGAATTTTAAAAGTTATAAGTGCTTTATAAAAGTAATAACACTATAGTGTTATTACATTGGTAATGCAGTTAGTGACTAGAGTGTTATTACTTTTGTAATCGTAAGTTTATTGTTTTAGTTTTTCGCTAACAAATTTAAGTTGATTCTCCCCTTAAAAACAAGGAACATGGTTTTGTATAAACTAAAATTTTGAATACTAGATATTTTTCCAGATTTTGTGTTTCACATTCGCTTAATTCAACCATTGTTGCTACATTAAAATTATACAAATAAATTTTACAAACACATTGCAATTTGTATTTTTGCTATCCTCTTAAAAAAAAAAGTTAAGGAAGGGAAAATAATTCTTTTTATTGTAGACTTCAAACTGTTTTTTTTTTTTTTTTTTTGCTTCGTCTTATTTAATTTTGTTGCTGAATGTAACAACCACTCTAAAGAAACAAACAAAAAAAAAACAGTACACATGTTATTTAAATTAATAATTTGTTTTTATTTTTTTTATTTCAATCTCCTTTTATTTTGTTAGTTTTTTTTGTTTTTGAAACTTTTTCAGCATTATTATAAAACTTGCAAATGGCCAAGTTCAAGTTGTCTAAAATGATAAAGTCGCGTGTGGTCACACAAGGCGAAAAACCGCATGCCTTTCCTGGGAAGGCTTGCTGAGCTAAATTTATAACTAAATTACTATTAGGTCTATATCCACTAAAGTTAGCATGATTACTATTATAATGTCTGCGCTTCTTATAAAGGTGTTATTTTTTTATTTTGTTGTTATGGATACCTTTATTTTGCTTAGCAAAGACCTATTTTAGTATTAGCAAACAATTTATGAGTGCTATATTCAGTAAATTTAGCATGAGTACCAAGATAAAATTTTGCTTCTTATAAAAGTTATAATTTTTTATTTAGTTGCTATGGATACTTATATTGCTTAGTTAACCAATAATTTACCTAGTTACTAAGAGGTAAATTGATTTTTGAATAAATTTTATCGGATTTTTGACCCACTGAATATTTAGGTAAATAATGTTTTAGAAATAATAAAAACAAAAAGTGCTGCAAAAAAAAATTGTCAATTTTAACTTATATCGAGAACAATAATATTGTTTAAAGATTGTTTAAGTAATTGTAAAACATCTGAAATTGTGATTTGTTCAGTATGATGTCTCAAAGTATTGCCATTGTTGCTTGATCCAAAAACACCGCTTTTGAGGAAATCAACAAGTCCAATTTTGTTCATAAAATCAGTCTGAATCTTTTGTTTGGTTACAGATACCTTTTCTTTGTGTTCTCTAGATCTTGCTTTTCACTTTCTTGTTTCTTTTCTATATGTGAAAAATCTTCTCAAAAAATCAAATCCATGCAAAGACCATATTTGAATTCTCTGTGAGTATAATCTATGGTAAGGATATTAAGACTATATTTTTTTGAGAGACACCACACACTAAACATTTGTAATATTTGTAATATACAGCATTTGTATGATTTTCCACATAATATTGTTTGAACTTTCCCATCAATCATTGTTCAATAAAACAATTCCCTTCAATAAAAGATCCGTAAACATCCAATAAAATTATACTCAATTTTAATGTACAAGCACTTCAAGATTCCTTGAATTCCGTTTTGTATACAAATTTTAAAGGTCTGCAATATGCTCTGGATGATGACTTTTAAATTCTCCAAATAGACACCTTTTCATTTGTATTGTTAAATCCAATGGGACTAGACAAGTAATAAATAACAATTCTTCACATTTTAAATCTCTGTTCATGTCAGGTTCTGACAAAACTTGTTTATAAATATTTTGGCCAGTAGCATCATGAAAACCAGCCTTACACGTGAGTGTCATTGTTTTTATTGGTTTTTCGTTCAATATTAAGTGTCTCAGCACAAGTTCCTGATTTGCACAGATTCTTTGCAGATTATGAATCATTAAATCTTTTAAAGAACCTAAAGCTGAATAGTCCTCTTCTGTTGAATAACATTTGTTGAATAATATCCTTGCAGGATAACATTTCAACTCGCATCACTGACATCTTTGTAAGTGGGGTTGAAATTATATTCTTTCTGCAAGGCTCCACTTCTTATCATTGGATAGGAAGCTTTTTTCAGACTGGCATCAATTATTAAGGCCAGTGCTTTGTCTACTGAATAATTACTTGTTTTATCTGTATTTGAAATTTTTTGAAACATTTTCAAAATTCAGCAATTATTAGCTTACTAAAGTATATATGTAAAGTATATATGTCTTCAGTAATATTTTGTTTTTGCTATACCTTTATTATAATCTATAAGATTGTTTTTCTTGTAGAAAATTATGAATGTCTAAGTTTAATAAAAAATAAGTTTAATATTATAACATATATGCCACATGCATTACTGATTCTTTTTATTAACTTCTATAATAACAAGAATTAGTAAAACCTGGTAATAATGTGGATTACTAATTTTCTTTTATTTAAGTTACTATAAGTGTTAGTAATTAAATTTAAAAGTAATTAAATTACTGTTAGTGTTATTGATTCAATTACTAACAATTGCCAAAAATATGTTGTTGCTATGCTAAGTAAGATTTCATAGCAACCAAAAAATGGTTTTAATCTCTGAATACTTTAAAATAACATGTACTAACTTTGAGTTTTGACAACACAGATATAATTGAAATATCGCACAAAATTGATTTCACCAAAATTACTTGTTTATAATTATGATTTTTATTTCTAATTTCAATATTTAAATTCACATTGTCCTGGTAACTAAGGTATTTAATAGAAATAAATTATCAATAAATTTATGTTAATATATTTAGACAACTAAAATTTTTGCATAATACTAAAAATTAGCGCATAATACTACTACCCTGTACACAGCCAACTGTGCACAGGGTAGTATTATGCACCTTGCTTATTTCCAGATTTCTTAAAGATGAAGTATTATATTATTGTACAATGCTTTTAAAAATTTGCCATGTGTTTGGGTTTATTATCTTGATAGAGATCCCATAGCCTACTATATTACATAGTCAAGTATGTTAATTTTTAGAAGCTGATTTTAAGAAGTTGATAAAAAAATAGGTGTGCAATAATAGAGAAAAAATATATCTCATCTGGGCTAAATAAATTGTTTTAATATAATATTACAAGTATAAATAAAAATGTTTTTACATAAAACTCGCGATTTGTATTTTCATACCAGCTTTTTTTTTGTAATGTGTAATTTTTTATTTGTTTTCTGTTAGATATAATACAGCTTATGTCAGTAAAAGTGATCAATATTTATAAAATAGATCAAAATATATTAAATTATTTAAATGAAAAAAATACTAATAATTTTTATGAAACTTTATTATTGCATTATAATAGGAGTGTCTAATCACCTACCTTTATACAACAAATAACTTTTCATTAAATTTTCACAAAGTGTTTGAATTTAACCACTACTGTTTTATGAATCAAAAGTTTAGTAACGGTAACTTTCAATTTTTTAACGGAAAATGAAAAGAAGCAACTTTTATATTTTCCATACAAGACTGTTGTATCTATTTTTACAACCATATTAAGATATGGTTCAGCTTTTTTAATAATTCTTTAAAATAGTTATAAATTTCAAGTTTCTTTGTATTTAAAAAAAAAAAATTTAAACTAGTAATCTTATGCAAGTTTAAAATTTAAACTTTTTTTCGATTGCACTGTCTTTACATTAGCCTTTAGAATCGACCTCTAAAATGTAACATATACAGCCGTGTAAATATATTGTAAAATAGTAGGCCACGAAGTTTACATGCATAGCACTGCTTAAATATGGCATCATCGAGTCTTCTAAAATTGTTCTGATAACTTTTTGTGATCAATTAAAGATGAGATAAATATATTTAAAAAAAAACGATTGTGATAATATAAAAAATACTTTAAAACGGTTTGTAATATAGAATACATAGCTTAGTCTTTTTAATTCATTATTACTCAAAATTATTTTTGTTAATTGTTTCGTAAATATTAAGAAAATGGTTTTAAAATTTTGTTTGATTTTTTTCTTTTTTGTTACCTGTGTTTGTTTTTTTTTAAGATCGGGGTGCTGATGACAGTGAAGAATCAAAAAACAACTCGAAAACAGAAGTGGAAGTTGGAAACTAATGATGTAACTAAAGATTTTTAAAGTCAAAGCTATTTTTAGTTTTAATGTTTTTATGGTGGGAATATTCGTATATAGCGTGGTTTAGATCCATTTGAAAAAAACATTGATCGATATTCGACAGTTACCTGAATTCGGTTGTTACAAATAATTTGTTTTTCAACAAGCTTTTTTGTGTACTTTTGTTATACTTTAAAAATGGTAATAAACTGTATTCTGAACTTTTCTTAATAGTCAACTTTTGACGTCATTTGGTCTTCCAACTCTCAACTTTTGAAATCAGTTGGTTTCCACATTTCAGATTTTAGAATATTACATTAAATTGAACCGTTAAAATCTTTGATTTTACATTTTCTGATTGGTTTATAAGGAACTTTATATTAAAGTCATCATCGTGTTGATTTTAAGTTATAAATAACTTTTATAAGAAATAAATTCAAGACGTGATTGTTTCTTTTATTTCTTTTTATATTTGATTATTTTGTTTTTAATAACAGCTATTTTTTTAAAAAGAAAATTATAGTTTCAATCATATAATATGCGCTAGCTGCGCAAAAAAACCTTTTGCACTAATTAAATAATAGACACTAGTTGCGCAAAAAAAGAGAAAAAATACGGGTCATGCTCCACTAACCTTTTAGACCAGATATGGGCAACATCCGGTCCGCTGCAAGTTTTGATCCGTCCCGCGAGACGTGAAAAACCCAATTAAAATTTTTGGTGCATCTCGAGGTCGGAATTAATTAAAAATTGTGACTTAACTCAATAAAGTACTACTTTAATTATTGCTGTCGTGGCGCAGTGGTGCTTTATAAGCAGGAAATCCTGGTTTAAAACAAGCTCTGGGCATATTTCGCGTCGCGGTATGGAAGGAGGCGTGAACTTCCTGGTTAATGCACTTCTGCGGTGCTCTGTGACAAGACCGTTAGGTCTTCTTGGGGCGTCTAAATAACAAACAAAACAAAAAATGCGATACTTTTAAACGCGGCCCGCATACGTACATGCACATTAAAGTTTGGCCCACTTAATGTCAAAGGTTGCCCATACCCGTTTTAGACTAATGTTCTAGTTTTTGATTTTGGAACCGCAAAATTATATTTTTCATTTAGCAAAAAGAGTTTCTAAAAAAATAGTAATTTATAACAAAACTAGATATGCAATTTATATTATTCTCTGATTAATCTATTTCACAAGCCGTTTGCTATAAAGTAAAAATAATATCGTTTGCTCTAAAAGGAAATCAGTAAAAATAACATCACTATTTTACTTATCAGCTCTGAAATGTTATGAAATGTTTCATGCAACATGTTACAAATTTTACCTATATTGTAATGAATATTTATTCGAGTCAAATGCGCAATTTTTTTGTCCTTTATTAGGAGCATATCATCTTTCAAGCTTTTAAAGCAGGTATGACATGGTGTAGGCCAAACTTTAGTGTGCAAATACGTTCGCGGTCCGCGTTTAAAAGTAACGCATTTTAAAATCGTACTTTAATGAAGTAAGTCTTAATTTTTAACGATATATATAAGGCATGAAATAATAAGAAATTATTGTGAAACAATTTATTCATAACAAAGTAATTGAAACTCAAATAGTAAATTTCTTTGAAAGTATAACAAACTATATATCGATAGAAAGCTAAGCAATTTAACTTTTTAACTATAAATGTTTTTAACACGTTTAACAACAATAAATGCAAACTGCTTAAAACTACTGTATTTATAAATAACAACCAACTTCAAGATGCACCAAATTTTTTAATTGGGTTTTTCAAAATGCCTCATGGGCCGGATCAAAACTTGCAGCAGGCCGGATCTGGTCCGCAGGCCAGATGATACCCACACCTGATTTATATCTTTAGACTTTATTTTTAACTTAAAAAGATAGCGGACCTAACACAGTTTTTACATTGCGTGAAATATACGGACATATAGCTTACGTCAAATTGCTAATGGAAAACACATGAGTGATGCATGGAAGTGGATTTTAATATTTACGTGTTTTTGTTTAGAAATATCGTTAGAACTCATAGACGATATTTGGATCAGAAAAAATTAATCTTGTTACTGCTGTTTATGATTAGGAGCGCAATTTAAAAGTAATTATTGAAAAGTGTATTTTTTGTATCAAAGATTGCGGGCTTTTCAATATTTTTTTAATGAATTTAATAGAAATCTTTAACAACAACCACATGCCTGCGTAACTAAATCATCATTTTTGAACCTTGGCTACTCTATGTTTGTTTATTTCTTAAAAAATAACTGGTCATTTACATCTGTGCTATCGTTGCCAAATACAATAATGCTCCATTGTATTTGGCAACGATGATTAAATATAGCCTGTAGTGTTCCCCAGGGTTCTATACTTGGACCCTTTCTTTTTCTCGTTTACATCAATGATTTACATAAAGCTTCGAACTTGATTGCTATCATATTTGCAGATGATACTAATCTCTTTTTATCTGATAACAATATTACAACATTATTTCAAAATATGAATATCGAATTAACAAAAATTTCTGAATGATTTAAATTAAACAAGCTTTCACTTAATATTAAAAAAACTAATAGGCTACTTTTTCATCCAGCTTTTAAAAAAAACTTCGGCTGTGCGATTTATCATAACTTTTTATTGACAAAATTCAAATAAAAAGAGTAATTAATACAAACTTTTTGGGTATATATGTCAATGAAAACCTTAATTGGAAATATCACATAGAATTTTTGTGTAATAAAATTGCTAAAAGTATAGGAAAATTGTATGAAGCTAGAAGTGCTTTAAATAAACGCAATTTAACTCAATTAAGTTTCTCCATTTTTCATTGTCATTTAAACTATGCAAATATTGCTTGGTGTAGTGCTAAATAATCCAAACTTAGGCCTCTTTATCGTCAACAAAAGCATGTTGCTCGTCTTACTAATTCTAAGATAGATTTACTCGTGCCAAACCTCTCTTATTTGAAATGAAAATTCTTGATATATATCAGCTAAATGTTTTTAATATTCTTTGTTTTACTCCAAACCAGTTTCTTTCCGTAATTTATATATCTTAAAGGATAAAAATAAACACAACTTTATGATAATATAATTCGTCAACCATTCTTTCAAACTAATTTTGGAAAATCAAGCATTTCATTTTGTGGAGCTTCTCTTTGGAATAAAATAGTTTTAAAACATTTTGATTTTTCTTTGGATTGGAGTTATCTCTCATTCAAAAATAAGCTTAAGGAAATCATTTTGTCTATTGATGATATATTTTTGTAATTTTATTTCTTTTACTTGCAAATTTAATTACACGCAAATTTTTATTCTTTATGATGTGATACAAACTCAATTTTTTTAAACTTGATGGTTCATTGAGGCTTAGTACAACTCTAGACATTAGTTATTTGCTCGAGTTTCCTTACAACTGAGTTTTTAGCTTGTTTTTTTATTTATTTACACTTTTGCCGATAAAAAAAAAATTTACAGTCGTAACTTATAAAAAAAATAATTACATGACCTTAGAAGAAGACAAATTTAGTCTTATCATTAAGCCCCAAAAAATGCGTCATTACTAGACAAAACATAGTTTAACAATAAAATATAGTTTCAATGTATATATCTCTGATTTATATTATAAAAGAAAATTTAAATATATCGCATATCGTTTAAAATTTATAGTTTTTCAAAGAATAAGATTTAACAATTGTTTTGTAAAATAAAAGAAACAAAATTTAATAAAATATTAAAATGACAAAAATAACATTAAAGACTTGGTTTGAAAAATAAGAAGATATGATTTTATATAAAAACATTTTATTGGTAGAGCATTTTATAGTTTAACTTATTTAATTATATTTATAATACTTTTCATTGCCAATTAAGTAAAAGCAAATAAACAGTATAAAATAAAAGTAAAAGATTAATAAATAACGCAAAAATAAAAAATAAATTTCTCAAAAAGAAGATTATCATTTAAAATGATAAAAATATATGTACAAATGTTGATTAATTATGTATTAATAATCTAAAGTAATTAATTAACTAACTATTAATTATTGATTTCTAATATAAAGAAGTTTTATTAGAAAAAATTTAATTCATTTTCAGTTAACAAAAGTAATTGCTTAAGTTTTGTTTTGAATTGGTTTAGAGAATAATTAGTTTTCATTTCATTATTAAATATTATGTTCCACAACTTTGGTCCTCGGTTTACAATAGAGAATTTAGTAGCGGAATAATAAGTTTTGGATTGAATGTAGTTGTATTTTGAAAATCTTGTAGGGTTTCAATAAAGTTTTAATACAAAATAAATAGCTTTACTTTGTATTAAATAACTTTAATACAAAGTAAAGCTAATAAGTATTCAGCATATAAATTTAAAACTATTGTAAAGAAAAACTACATTGTTTTGAAAATTGAAGACAAATATGTTGGAGCCGTTTTTCTTTTTAATGTTTTTGAACTAAACTACTTACACTATTCTTTTAGAAAATATTTTAATAGTTAAACCTCTGTCAAATGCTTAAGTTTTGAATCTTAAACTACATAATCGGACACAAAATCTACAAAATATAAAATTTTAATAATCAGTTTAAGTTTAAATCTTATTGTATTTTTCCAATTGGTGGGAGCAGCGCAATGAAATGTGTGACAAACGTCTTGAAAAGGTATATTTCAATATACCTGTTGAGTATCAAATCACATTTATATAAACTAGTCTAGATTGATTTATTTACTAACTTTAACCTCTCAGTTGCATTTATGTCTGGTTTTTCAGACTTTAATTAAGATATTTATTGTTATTACTGTTTACTGCATAATTTTGCCATCATTTTATTAAATTTTTGTTTATTTGTAATTTGAGTATTTTATTAATATAGTTTATTTGTGATTTGAGTCTATTATTATTGTAATTTCTTGATTAAATTTATTTTGCTTTGCAGGTTTATTGAAAATAAACTGCAAACAGAGTTTACTTTGATTGGATTTAATACAAAACAAGCAAAAGAGATTGATTTTAAAACTTTAAATATTTACAGAGGTGTTTTTGGTATTTATACTATATTTGCTTGCGCTGCTCTGACCAATATATATATATATATATATATATATATATATATATATATATGTATATATATATATATATATATATATATATATATATATATATATATATATATATATATATATATATATATATATATATATATATATATATATATATATA